CTCAAAGTCACAGGGCACATCAATTGTTATAAAACTTACTACACAGAAGCCAAAGACAAGCAGCACCTGAGCTTGAGAAAAGCTGGGCCTCTGCCCCACACCGAAGGGGCACAGTTCTACTTTGACGACACAAGGGGTCGCCAAGAGTTGGAACTGACTTGACAGCAACTAGTAAAAGACACTAAGAGATTTTGCTTCCTCTCCTTCTACCTGCTTTAGATTCCACCATCAACAAACATTTTTGTTGTTGTTGTTAAAAAAGCATCCCAGTGGGGAGGAGACGACCCAGTCAGGGTGCAGTGTAGCAACGATGAGACATGCAACCTTCCTCCAGTTCCTAAATGCTTCCTCTCGACACTATCATGATCCCAATTCGACCTTACAAATCTGGCTAGACCAGAGGTTGTACACTGGTACAGATAAGAACTGGAAACAGGGAGTCCAGGACAATGATCCCTTCAGGACCAGTGGAGGGAGGGTGGGGTGGAAAGGGGGAACCGATTACAAGGATCTACATATAACCTCCTCCCTGGGGGATGGACAACAGAAAAATGGGTGAAGGAAGACATCGGACAGTGCAAGATATGACAAATAATAATTTATAAATTATCTAGGGTTCATGAGTGAGGGGGGAGTGGAGAAGGAGGGGAAAAATGAGGAGCTGATGCCAGGGGCTTACATGGAGAGCAAATGTTTTGAGAATGATGAGGGCATTGATTGTACAAATGTGGTTTACACAATTGCTGTATGTATGGATTGTGATAGGAGTTGTATGAGCCCCTAATAAAATGATTTTTTTTAAAAAAAGCATCCCCGCCTATGGAGGGAAGAGGGGCAAGAAGGAGGTGAAAAATCACAGAGCAAACAGGCCTCCTCAGAGGGCTTCCAGTCCAGGTGCGGTCAGATGAGGAAAAGATGAAAAGATGCTGCAGGTCTGGCTCCTGAGCAGGTCTGTTCAGCAACATTGAGTCCGAGAAGATGACACACCGTAGTAACATAAGCAAAGATGCATTCCAAAGTTAATAAGACCAATATGGAAAGCCCCTCCTCTACCTTTAGCACAGATGCAGAGAGCCGACTGTGCAACGTCAAACCACAGTCCTACAAAAGGCTGTGCTTAGAACTAAACTGACTTTTCTAGCAAACGGTTTCCTCCTTTCTGCATTCATAATTTGGTGCGTGGAGCTACAGGGATGTTCTTTTTATTTCTAGGCCCTTCCTCCTTTATCTTCATTTCTGCCAAATAAGGACCCTCTCCTCCCCACCTCATCTGAATGGAGAGAAGAGCATCCGCTCAGTGAAGGAAATCCGGAACTGCAGAAAAGCATACAACAGCCTCGACAGAGGAAAGCCGCCTCTGACACTCAGGAACTGACCTGCCCCTACTTGCCTACTCTTGGTCTTTTCCTATTAGTCAGACTCCATGACCATCAACATCACACAGGCCAGGTCTGTGGGTACTGGGAATCAAGGCAAAAACAAAACTACTCAGTAATCATGTCTCAACACAGATGAAATGCAAACATTACCCAAGGTACAAGAAGGATTAAACCCCGCCAGTCAGGGCCAATGTAAGTGAACACTGCTTCTCTATCAAGTTTAGCTTCCTGAAACCCTTTCCAACAGAAATCCATGCTGTGTAAGTCCTTCTTACACCTCTTATTGACACACCCTATAGTTGTCCAGGGTGTGTGTTGCCCCCTCACTGAAGATTAGTCAGCTTAACTAATTCAACTGCAATGTGCTCCTGGTGGACCTGGGCTGGAGCGATCTGACAAAGTAGAACAAAAACTCTATACTCTTATTCTCCAGAGAAGCAAGTTCTACTAGTACGGTATCACTTTTTGATCCTTGGATTTCCCCCTCATATTTCTTTATATGGATGGAAACCTTGAGGCCAGTGGTTCTCAACCTTCCTAATGCCGTGACCCTTTAATACAGTTCCAGATGTTGTGGCGAACCCCCCCCAACCATAAAATTATTTTCGTTGCTACTTCTTAACTGTAATTTTGCTACTGTTATGAACTGGGCGACCCCTGTGAAAGGGTCGTTCAACCTCAAAAGGGGATCAGTAGCCCCCCCGCTTTAAAAAAAACGGTCTACTTCAGGAATAAATTAATTTTTGTGGTTGTTGTACAACATTCATATTTTCTTATCCAGATGGCATACATTTTATAGGTACACGCTATCTCATAGATTCTTGGTTTCCCCATAATATACACAAAATCAAGTATATATTTAGTATATATATATATAGTTTACAGTAACTACTTGTTTACTAAGTAAAATATTATTCATTTCAAGCTACCATTTTATTATCTTGTTTTCTTAATCATCTTATCTTTAAAATGAGGTATTTTGAACACTTCCCTTGGTTTGAAAGCTGATCATTTAGGGCTGAAATTCCACGTGAGGGAAGGGAAAAGTTGTTCAGTAATGTAGTACACAGTAAAATACTTACATCTAGAAGGCCCAGAACACCGGAGATCTCAGGTTTGGCACATATACCAAAATGAAAACTACTCTAATGTTTAACTTCAGTGATTAAATTAGAGGGCCGAATGGCAAAGCATTATCATTACATCACTTTGACTATAGAAAATGTATGGAAACCAGTTGGATTTATATTATGTGTCCATGTGTTATCTGTGCATGTATGCATATATACACATATTATTTACAGAAACCAAAGAAAACAACTCCCTATCGTAGTTTGTAATAACAGTAACAAATCATAGCTCTTAATGATAGCTAAGGAAGGGGAGAGGTGCTTTCCTCATTAAACCTGGTTGGATGCAAAAGAAGTAAGCACATAATTAAACAAGGCTTTTTTAGCCTCAGCACTATTTACTTTTGTTATTAGATGCCATCAAGTTGGCTTCCATTCATAGTGATCTTATGCACCACAGAAAGAAACACTACCAGTCTTGCGTCATTCTCAGACTCATAGCTTTGTTTGAGTCCATTGTTGAAAATCTTCCTTTTTGACTGACCCTATTTTACCACTGACCCTCTATTTTACCATCTATGATGCCCTCTCCCATTTTTATTAGTATCTCTTACAGATATTATAACAACCCATAGATCCATAGTACAGTTAGATCAAGCATGGTTGTACAATTGTTGCCATCATCATTTTCAAAACATTTTCTTCTTCCACTCTTTGATATCAGCTCCTTTGTCTCCACCCTCTCCCACTCTAACCAAGAACCTTTATTATATTAAATATGTTATTGTATTGGATATTTATATTAGTTATCTGCCCCCCCTATATCTTACACCAGCCAATGTATCCATTCACCTGCTATTCTAGTATTTGTTCCCCTCAAGTGGGATAGTCATCACAGCTATCAGTTACCCCTCCCTGCCTCTCTTTCTGTACCCTCAGGGAATCATTACTCCCGTTACTATTTCTGAAAGATTTCATGCATATGGTGGCCTTCTTCATGGACTGATCCCTCCTGATAACATGTCCACAGTACAGGAGTTGAAATCTTGGGTTCTGAGGAGCACTCTGGCTGTACTTTTTCTAAGACAGATGTATCTTTTCTGCTGGAAGACAACGGCATACCCAATATCCTTCACCAATACCATAATTCAAAGGTATAAAGGTATAATTCTTTTGTTCTTTCTTATTCAATGTCCAGCTTTTATATGAATACCCCAACCTAAACTCACTGCCATTGAGTTGATTCTGACTCATGGCAACCACATAGGATAGAGTAAAGCTGCCCCTTTAAAAGTTTCTGAGACTGTAACTTTATCAGAGTAAGAAATATCATCTTTCTCCTGTGGAACCATTGGTGGTTTCAAACTGCTAGCCCTGTGTGGTTAGCAGCCCAATGCTACCAAAGTTCCTTTGAATGCCTATATGTGACTGAAAATGTGTGTTGGGTCAGACACACGTTAGTCCCCAAAGTGACATCTTTGTTTTTAAATATTTTAAAGAGGATTTTATGGAGCAGCTCTATGCAATACAATACTAAATTTCTTGACTGTTGCTTTCATGGGCATTGATTGTGGATCCAAGTAAAATAAATCCTTAACAACTCTAATCTTTTCTGTTCATCCGAATGTTTACTGGTTCAATTGTCAGGATTTTATTTTCTTTGTATTAGAGTTGAGTAGGGTCTTCTTGTGCAGCTATTCTATACATCCTAGGCTGGTTGGCTGCATTATTTCCTCCTTCTTCCACTCCAGTGACATGCAGAAGTTTCCAGAGTAATAAAAATCTCTCACAGGAGGGTGGGGTGGAAAGGGGGAACTGATTACAAGGATCTACATATAACTTCCTCCCTGGGGTCAGACAACAGAAAAGTGGGTAAAAGGAGACATCGGACAGTGTAAGATATGACAAAATAATAATTTATACATTATCAAGGGTTCATGAGGGAGGAGACAGTGGGGAGGGAGGAGGAAAAATGAGGAGCTGATACCAAGGACTCAAGTAGAAAGCAAATGTTTTGAGAACGGTGATGGCAACAAATGTACAAATGTGCTTGACACAATGGATGGATATATGGATGGATATATGGATTGTGATAAGAGTTGCACGAGCCCCCATTAAAATGATTTTTTTTAAAATATCTCTCGCATGGTGAGAAGCAGAGTTAAATAAAGCAATGAGTTTTCATGGCTCTGATCACCAGCTATGTGCTGATGACAGCCAAAAGGGTAATCCAGCCAGAGGATTCCCCTAAATTCCCTGCCAGATGTCTCCACCTGTGTAGTGCGTGGGCACCTGAAACTCAAAAATTGCCTCATCTTCCTGCTCCTAGATTCTTTATCCTGGTGGACATTATCACCTATTCAGTTGCCCGAATTGAAAGATCATTGTTTTTTATTACCCCCAATTCCAAAGTTAAACCAGTGTCTGGCTAATTAAAACCATTAATCAGCTCCCATATCTATGTCTTCTTTTCTAGTCCCTGATAAACCAAATCCATTGCCACAGAGCTGACTCTGACTCATAGTGACCCTGTACAGAGTTTTCCCAGGTGGTAAGTTTTTGTTTTTGTCTTAATTTAAAAAAAAAATTCCATCAAGGGGGTGGACAGAGCAATCTCCTACTCCATCTCCCTGCTCCAAAAATCCATTTACTATATTGTCCTCGGATAGAGGACATTATCAGATAGTAAGCTGGTAACAACAGATACCACATTTAATTGTAGCCAACAGGCCGCGAAGCGATAGGTGGCAAGTTTTTGAGAGCATATAGCCCCATCTTTCTCTCTCAAAGCAACTGGCAAGTTTGAATCGCCCACAATGCCATGGGGCTCCTGACTCGGGATACAGTCTAATTTTATAGTTGTTACTTTCACCTTCCTTATGACTACCTTTCGCTACTGCTACCAGTGAATTCTTTTCGACATATGAAGCTGATCGTGTTTCTTTCATGCTCCACATTTTCAATGGCTCCCCACTATCTGTAGGACAAAACCAACCTTCCTGTGCATGGCATATCAGGCCCTGACTGACCTGCCTTGTGCTGATCCAAATCAGCGCAAGTGTTTCCATGAGCAACACTTCCCATTTCAGCAACACTGACTATGCAGGCTTTCTCGGGTCAGTGCTGACATGCTACCTAGAATGTTCACCCTCGGCTCATGTGCCAAGTCAACCCTGCCTCTAACAGACTCCCCTGGCTTTCCTAGGCAGCTTAAAGAAAGGCACACCCACAACCAACCATCATTTATGTGTGCCCAGGGCTCCTCAGTAGAGCTGTATCAGGGACCCAGCACGGAATTCTTAGGAACGGAAGTGAATGACTTTCCTAGATGTCCCTTAAGTTCTCTAATTGCAAGAATGCACTTAATTGTTGCATGACTCTTTTCTTCTAGATTATCTCATTTTCTCATCTCTAACTTCTTAGTGTCTAACACAAGATTGAGCGTCAATAAACATTTACCAGAAGAATAAATGTGAAACTAACATCCCAGTATTTCTCTGGTGCCCCACAGCACTAGGCTGGTCCTTCAAACACTCTTGCTTTTCCCTCCTTTGGAGCATTATGGATGTTTCTGGATACAGTTCTGAATAATAAATCAGTTTGTAGGATCACAGAATCTTCCTTTGCCACAATGAAAGAAAACACTAAAAACATAAAAGTTAAATAATTTATCAGCTTTATTAAAAAGTGGGTGCTGAGCAAGAAAAAAAAAAGGTGAGTTCACAACATCTTGTGAATATCCACGAACATTCCAATCTGGAAAGAAGCGGCTGGGGAGAAGCTATTCCCAGGACAAACTAAGAGAAAAACCCTCACGTACATCATCAGAAAATGTCCTAAGAATCAATGAGAGCTCCTCAGACTTGCCCTTGCCTAGCCCCGGTAATAAAGTTATAATCTGCACACAGGAGACAGTTTACTGGATCTCAAAGACAGGAGAAGCAGGTCATAGCCCCTCACCAGGGTTAACTCAAAACCAGCTTAGGGCCTTGGCTACCTAAAGGATAGAACTGTGGACAAAACCAGACCTCAAACTCTAACTGCAAGGGTAGAAAAATTAAGTTATTGGTATAGTAATAGAGGAGGTAGAGAAACCTTCCACTTAACAGAGAGCATGGATAGGAAACCATCAATTTGGAAAAAAAGCATATTAATAATAGGAAGAAAGAAATAAAAGACAAAGTATACCCAGTTCAGTTCATTAACCTATCACTGACATATAAAGACAATGGTAGACAGTCTCAATCATAAAAATAACTTGAGGAATATAGATGAATAAGCTACTAAGAAATAGACTATGCTTACTGATAAAATAGTCAACTAAAAGATGAATCAAAAATTTAAAAATTCAGCAAATACTTAAAAAGGATGACAAAAGTGGTGGCTGTGTTCACTGTTTTTATTTAAATATTAAATGAAGAGTATGACTATTGACTGGATTATTTGAGTGGCAAAGGAAAAATATACAGGGAGTTAAAAAATGGAAAGTAAAAGAGAGAAAGCACAAGAATGTTAACTTATCTTATTTCCAGAGGACAGAGTAAAACTTATGTGGACTAAACTTAAATGTGCACCTAAAAATAATAATGACTTCAGCTGGCTTATTGGCTTTCCTAATCTTTGTTGTTGTTAAGTCTTCAGGATTATATTTCTGGGGAGAGTAGGAGAGGGAGGGGAAAAAAGAGGAGCTGATACCAAGGGATCAAGTAGAAGAAAATGTTTTGAAAAGGATGATGGTAACATATGTACAAATGTGCTTGATCCAGTTGATGTATGGATTGTGATAAGACCTGTAAGAGTCCCTATATAAAATAATTTATTAGAAAAATAGAAAAAATTTTTGAAAGGAATGTTTTATGGAGAAGAAGCATCTACTAGAAATTCAAAAATTCCTATATCTTTCAAATAAAATTAACTTTAAGTAATATATTAGAGGTTTATCCCTTCTCATGTTCATTCAATTATATTGCATAAATGTGTTGGGAAAGATGTATGGCCTGAATGTTAACAACGTATATTTTTTCACAATAAAGCAATTTAGAATAAGTTCTTTCTTTAAATAAAGTAAGAAAATTAAAAAATAAATAAGTAAAATGAAAATTTTTGGTTTTTTGAACGCATACATATTGTTTTTACAATAATAATAAAACTGTACATATATCTTAGAAGTTAGCATAAACTAACATGGACAACAGAATTCTACATAGTAGTTTCAAAATTCAAAGTTTCTATTCCATTTCAAAACACACTCTAAAAGACAGTTCTCTAAGTTAACAACCAAAGAGCTAAAAAAACAGAAAATCTAATTAGACTGATATTTAAAATACAGCAATCAAGAATTTAATGTCAAACATTCCCCATTAAATTACCTTTATTTTAAGCAAGTAAAAATGAGACTGGGGAGTCTTTTCAAGCTAAAAAGCTCCTCCACCCCTTTTAGAGATAGAGATACAGGCTGAGGACATACGGAAAATGAACCATCTTAAGTTACTAGCTGCTGTGATCTAGCTAGAGAGAGAGAGACACACACAGATAGACCACTTCCCTTGACTCACTTTTGTAATCGTTCTTAAGATGGCTAGACGATCTGCTGGGGGGGGCAGACCCACAAAGAGCGTTTTGTCCAGCCGGCCTGGGCGCAGGATTGCCGGGTCAATGATGTCTAGATGAAAAAGAAGGGAAAACACTGAAATGCTAGGAATTCTTCAACCATGTTTTCTACAAGGTTGCTAAGACTTAGCCATGGATTCACTCTTCTGGAAAGAAATAAAATTAGTCAAAAATCATTGTATTGGGGGCTCTCACAGCTCCAATAACAATCCATACATCAACTGTATCAAAAACATTTGCCCATATGTTGCCATCATCATTTTCAAAACATTTTCTCTCTATGTGAGCCCTTAGTATTTGCTCCTTTTCCCCCTCCCTCCCCTACCCTTGTAAACACTGATAAATTATAAATTATTATTATTTTCATATCATACACTGTCTGCTGTACATTTCTTCGCCCCTATTTCTGTTGTTCATTCCCGAGGGTGGAGTGGCGGTGGGGGCTTATATATCCATCATTGCAGTCGGTTCCCTGTTTCTGCCCACCAAATTAGTAATTTTTAAGTTGAAATTTTGAGTCTACTAATGTTGTACTTTGATCACTTCAGGGAGGCTAGATACTTTTAAAATGATTTTTATCAAAGTTGACACATTGTTGGAATTCCTCTTGAGATGTTAGAACATAATACAAACTTTGAAATAACAACAAAGCCAATAGCTTCTCCTCATGAGAAAGATGAGGCTTTCTACTCCTGTAATGAGTTAACGTCTCAGAAACCCACAAAGGCAGCTCTACCCTGTCCTATAGGCTCCTTAATAGTTGGGATTGAGGGCAGCTGAGATACTGACCTACCATAAACTGCATGTATTTACAGTGTACAATTTGATACACTTTGTAAATACCTGTGAACCATGATCAAGATAGTGAACACATTGTAAAAACATCTTAACTATAATATAAGAAAATAGGCCTTACGGACAGATCTATAATATAGATCTATAATACTATATAGATATTATAAAAACATCTTAACTAAAATATATGAAAATAGACCTTACAGCCAGATCTATAATATTGGTTTTGCTCTGTCTTGTTTTTGTGCATGTTATTATCTCCGCAGGTCTGTCTAAAAGAGATAGGCTAGATGAACAATCTGGAGGAGAAAATAACAGGACCGACAGTTCTGGGGAAACATGGGGGGGAGGGGGAGAGGTAGTGGTGCTAACAAACCCAAGGACAAGGGAACAACAAGTGATCCATATCGGTGGTGAGGAGGGTGCAGGAGGCCAGGAAGGGCATGATCAAGGGTAATGTAACAAAGAGGAAGTGCTGAAACCCTGGTGGGGACTGAGCATGATAGTGGGACAGGAGGAAA